ATCGTAAATTTTACAAGTAACACTACTTCAGTGATATTTGTCATGACACTTGAGATGGCTTCTAACTCTTGAACCCTGAACCTCCTTCAGATAATTTGAGTAGGTTATAGAGCATCAATCTGTTGTTCCAGACACCTATATAAATCTTTTTGTATACTCAACATATTAGTAACATTTTTTTTGCTAGATGGTTAACAAAAATAGCTGTCTTAACTCTTTGTGTCAATGCTATTGCAGAAACAGTGGTGCTAGCTTTCTTGGATTGATTAAAATCACTATTGCTTTTAGACCATCATAAGTACACATTGGATGTGGACACTTCCACTTGAAATCTGTCTCACTAAATGTTCACTTTTTACCCTAACATCAGCAAACTCCCCAGAAAAAGAGGTCTCCACATCCCTCAGCCTATATCTTTAAAACAAAAAATTAAGCAAGCTTAATTTTTACAAAACTGTTATTAGGAAAATTCTCAAAACTCAAATTTAAAGTGACAGATTTATTTAATATTTTACTTGAAAATCTAAGACTTACTAATTAATTTGTAGTATTCTTTCTATTTTGATATGTAGTAATGAAACATTTTGAAAAAATTATCTTTTTAAATCAGCAAAAATAGCTTTTTATATTTTTAATAAACTATATTAAAACATATTCATCCCAAAAGAAAACCTACAGAATCAGCTAATCTGGGCTAGTAGGGGCTCACAGAGACTTAACCAACATTCAGGGAGCCTGTGTGGGCCTGACCTTGACCCTCTGCATATATGTTACAGTTATGTAATTTGGTCTGCTTATGGGACTCCTAACAGTGGAAGCAGAGCCTGTCTCTGACTCTTCTGCCAGCTTTTAGGACCCTTTTTGTTCATACTAGATTGCCTCCACCAGCTTTAATATGAGGGGAGATACCTAGTCTTACTGCACCTTGATATGCTGTGTTTGATTGATATCCATGGGAAGCCTGCCCTTTTCTGTAGAGGAACAAGGAGGAGTAGATAGGAGGGAAGATGGAAAATGAGGTGGGGTGGGGACTAAGAGGAAAAGAAGGAAGGGAAACTACTGTTGGGATGTAAAAAATAGTAGTAGCAGTTAAAACCTTATTCATCTCAAGGGCAATTACATGTTACTTTTATCTTTTAAATTGTTACTATCAAAATGTATCAGCTGAATGAAAATCTCTCAACAAGATAAAAAGCTTACCAATATGAAGGTATTAAAAAATTTAACACATATGTAACCATTGATGGCTTATTCTCTCTTAACTTTTTAACTTACTCAAACATGTACAGTCCAACAACAGCACATCTGGATATGATGCACCATAATAGCTAAATGCTATCAGCTTTGATATTTTTAGTCATGTGTTAATGATAGTCTTGTATTTTCTTTGCTCAGGTCTATTCATCAATGTAGAAAGCAAGAGCATATCTTGACAGTGCCTTAGCTTGATTTATTATGCTAACATATTTAGGTATGTGGAACACAGAACTCCATTTGTCTTGCTGTTTTCACAAATCAGTGAGTCTGACAAAGACCTTGGTTCAAAGTAGCAAAAAAGAAAAGACACTGGGCACCCTTGTTCATCATGTGATTCAAATAAGTCTTTGGTTATTTCAGCTCTGGCTTTTTACACTCTTCCTGTCTCCTTCTAGAAGGCCTCACTCTGTTCAGATTAGCTTATTTTTCCATTTAGTTGTTTATTTCTGCTGTATCTATCTTGACTCTACATTGTTAAATTTATTGTAAGTTAGGAATCTTGTCATCATGCCATCACCAGTGTGCCGTGGCCCTCCTGACTGCAATAATTACTCTGGCTTTAAAGCTGAGCTTTTTTTTGTGATTTACTTTTCAGATTGTAATTTAATTACATTTATCTCTTCCCTCCCCTCCTCCAACCCCTTCAGTATACCCCTCCCCACTCTCTTTCATTACATTCATATATGTATTTGTATATACATATATATTCCTTTAATATAATCTGTTGAGTCCATATAATGTTACTTGTATGCTTGTATGACCAAGGCTGACTGTTGAGTACTGAACAACTGGTGTGCCCTTCCCTGGTCAGAACCATCTCACAATTCCCAGCTTTACTCAGTCACCAGTAGTTCTTTGTATATTTTTCCCCATCCAGTTTAGTATCTTTGTTGGTACCATCCTTGTTCAATTCATGCTTGGGCAGTCGTGTTGGTGAGACTTCGCTGGTATGCCTTTTGATGCTCATAGGAGACACAATTTCACAGGGAAATCCCTGATCCTTTGACTCTTGAAATCTTTTTACACTTTCTTCTGCAACCCACACCTGAGCCTCAGGTGTAGGAGTGCTTTGTAGATGTATCCATTGGGATTGGCCTCCCCAACTCTGCATTTTGATTGGTTGTAACTTTTCTGTGATGGCCTTCAAGTTTCTTGATGAGTGGTGAAGACTATACTTACCTATAGGTATAAGGACATATGTTTCTAGATTGTGGTTAAGGATTATGCTGGTTTAGTAAATTAGTAGTTCTAGATTCTCCTTCAATAACTGTGATTTTACTGGCACTGATAAGTTAGTTAGGGTTCCAGTAACAGGTATGGTATCTGTCTTATTAAGTAGGTCTTAAATGTTAAGTCAAATTAGAGATCTGTTGATTACTACCAAGTATGTGTTGCCACTACCATACTTATAGGGTTTTTGTGCTATGCTATACTGATCATTGAGGTGGTTCACAGTAATTAAGGCCTTTTCTTTTTTCTTAATGTTTGTCTGGAATTTTCTACTGTTTACTTTCCATCCTTTCATATTTAAAATGTCTCTTATAATCTGTAGGTGTTTACAACCTGTTGCTTAAAATCTTTTTTTAAATAAAATATTTAATCTACCCCAGTCTGATGTAATTATGGGCATATTTAGTGTTTAAATACATTGTCATATTTTCTATGTGTCTGAGTTTTACATCTTTCTTGTGCTTGATATTTTTGCATTGACCAAATATTATATTTTGCTTCTTTCTACTAAAACCATAGAAAAGGGTCTAGGGTAATTTCTCAGAGTGTAAAGTGCTTGCCATGAGAATGTGAGAATCCACATTCAAATCTCCATGTAAAAGTCAAGTGGAGCAATGGACATCTCAGTGCTCCTAAGACAAAATAGGAGGCAGACACAAGAGAGTCTGTGAAGCTCCTGAGCCAACCATCCTGGCATCTACAGTAAAGTGGCAACTACCACCAACAACAAAGATAGATAGATAGATAGATAGATAGATAGATAGATAGATAGATAGAT